CTGGGAATGTTCATCTGATCATCTGAGGGTCATAAGTTCAATCTCTGAGTCAGGCAGGAGGGTTCAAGGTTACCTTTTTTCATCATCATCCCAGAACAATCTCCCATCCCCAAATAAACCTTAGTTCTCCTAAAGACATCTTAAACTGCTCCCAAAATCATTTTTTTTAAAATTAGGTTATCATTGATAGTCACTACTTGCAAAATGAAAAAGAACAGGTTTAGGAAATCAGTATTTTGTTCTTTTCAAAATCATTTCACCCCAAGCAAGAAAAAACTACTATTAAGGAGAGAGAGGACAATAAAAGAAGAAGAATTAAGAAGACAGAAGATAACGATTGACATTGCATTTAGATATTTGAAGATCAAAGGCAATAAAGCCACTAGGACGCAAGGGGTTACTGAGTGTTAGAGAATATGAGAAAAACTACTATTAAAGAGAGAGGACAATAAAAGAAGAAGAATTAAGAAGACAGAGGATAACGATTGACATTGCATTTAAATGTTTGAAGATCAATGGTGAGCGGGAAGCAAGAAAGTGAAAAAGAGTTCCACAAGCAAGAAGTGCAATAGAAGAAACTGTTAGCATAGAACTTACAGTTCCATCTAACAATTTCAACTGTAAAATGATGAGACCTATCTGCCAATCTTTTATTGTACTTGAATTCATAAAATCAAGGTAACATAGTGGAAAGTTCATACGAACAATGGCCATGAAAGAAGTTATAGAAAATGCACAGGGAAGCTACATTATGATAGTGGGAAAGTGACTGAAGATGAAATGCCAGATCAGGACCAATAACATTGCAGATTATCACTTTTATCCATTTCACTGTCATCTCCATATCCTGCAGGCACAATTCCAACTTTTATTTTCAATGCAAGTATTGTTGTCAGCAAAAGAAACAGCCCAAGATATGATCTACGTGCTAGAGACACCAAAATCAAGCAAGTACAAAAATTTAAATATCTAGGAAATATTTCTTAGTTAATTTGTTTAGCAACACATCAACTCCTTATGGGTCATTTAATGACTAAATTTAATTTTCTTGGGAGCTTTGAAGTATTAAAATATGATATGTGTTATTCTGCTTTCACAGTTGAATACATGGCAGATAATACTTAGCTTTTGTGCATATACATGTTTGTGCGGACATAATTACTAGAGATGGTGATAGGGGTGTTATGTTTTTAAGTTATATTTTAGAATATGGCTGCATTTAAGAAATTGTAGTATATTATTGAAATGAATGTCATGAAACAGTTCATGTTGGTGTTTGGTTGGCCGTTGATTTTGTTTAGTGGTATATCAACCCCTATGGGTTATTTAACACTGAAATCTATATAATTTGAACAATTATATACCTTCAGCTATAGAAAATGTATTACTGGTATTTTTACTTTTAAAATGTGTTTTATACTTTCATGGTGTTTTTGTATGGGAAGCTCACTATTTGCTCATAGATGGGACCCTAACAGGTGCTATCACCCCGGGTCAGGGTGGACCTGGGAACAACAGCAGTTATTGGTAGAGCAAAAGATGCCTTCAAAAAACTAAGCAAAGTATTAAGAAACATTAAAATTTTGTGCAATAGCAGTCCTCCGATATGGCAGTGAATGCTGGACAATCTCCTCACAAATGAAGAGACTTGAGGGAAAAGAAATGTGGTTCTACAGAAGGATGATGAGAATGAACTGAACATGTGAGCAAAAGCAAAGTTTTAGGCCAACTGGTAACGAAAAGGACACTTATACTTAGAATCAGAAAGTGACAGTTGAAATTCCTAGGGCATATAATGAGGAAAGAGAGCTTGGAGAATTTAACACTCACAGGACATTAATGATTATAGGAACAGAGGAAAACAATCAATAACCTACTTAACAAGATTGTGTAAATGATTGGAAGAACAGGGATTAGGAGAGATAGAAAAAAAGACAAAACTGAGTTAGAGCTAAAAAGAAGAGGAGATTGTGGAGACCCATTATCACCCACGCCCTGAAAACTTTTTGATTAAATCACATAAAAGTGTTGGCAATGTGTGTGTCTGCAACCCCCCCCCCCTCTGTAGTGGACCTTCATGACAAATGCATTTAGAGATCTGGAGAGATGAACTGCCATATGTGCAGCTAGTCAGTTACCTGGAAGGGGGTCCACTGATGTGGATTAGGCTCCCACATGATAAATAAAAACAAATGACAAAGAAGAAGAGAAGAAATCTTACTAATTAACCCAAAGCTGGGGGAGAAAAGGTGGATTCATACCTTTCCTAAGGGTATTTGCGCATAAGTAAATATCACACAAAGGGAATTGGAAGTCTGCTCTCTGATTAAAAATTTTCAGCTATTATTGAGTAGGTTAACCAAAAATGTTTTGACAAATTAAAATTCTTCATGTGAAAATAGAAATAGTATTTTGGAGAAAATACCTATTATCTGCTGGGGTCTGTGTCTGTTGGCCATCATAACCAGTGGCACATCCCATAATCCTTAGCCGAGCCTCAGCATATTCAGCTTCTCGCTGTTCCAAAGTCTTCACTGGACGATTTATTGAAATACTGCTGCAAAAGAAAGGTAAAAAAATGAAAAAAAAAACGAGGTAAAAAAAAAAAAAAAAAAACATCATGAGACATCAAAGAAAACAATAAATTAATAATTTTTTGAGTTGTGATATTTTATAAGAACTAAGAATTAAACTTCATTTTGGGTTCAAATAAGATATACATAATAAAAAAATATAAGTGTAAAGTATAAAAAAAAAAAAAATATAAGTGTAAAAAGAAAAAATATAAGTGTAAAGTGTAAAAAGAAAAAATATAAGTGTAAAGTGTAAAAAGAAAAAATATAAGTGTAAAGTGTAAAAAGAAAAAATATAAGTGTAAAAAAAAAAAATATAAGTGTAAAAAGAAAAAATATAAGTGTAAATAAAAAAAATATAAGTGTAAAGTGTAAATAAAAAAATATAAAGTGTAAAGTGTAAATAAAAAAAAATATAAGTGTAAAGTGTAAATAAAAAAAAATATAAGTGTAAAGTGTAAATAAAAAAAATATAAGTGTAAAGTGTAAATAAAAAAAAATATAAATGTAAAGTGTAAAGTGCAAATAAAAAAAAATATAATGTAAAATGTAAAAAAAAAAAAATATAATGTAAAATGTAAAAAAAATATAAGTGTAAAATGTAAAAAAAAAATATAAGTGTAAAAATGTAAAAAAAAAATAAAGTGTAAAATGTAAAAAAAAATATAAGTGTAAAATGTAAAAAAAAATATAAGTGTAAAATGTAAAAAAAAATATAAGTGTAAAATGTAAAAAAAAATATAAGTGTAAAATGTAAAAAAATATATGTAAAATGTAAAAAAAATAAGTGTAAAATGTAAAAAAAATATAAGTGTAAAATGTAAAAAAAAATATAAGTGTAAAATGTAAAAAAAAATATAAGTGTAAAATGTAAAAAAAAATAAGTGTAAAATGTAAAAGAAAATAAGTGTAAAATGTAAAAGAAAATAAGTGTAAAATGTAAAAGAAATAAAATAAGATTATATTGTAAAAAAAAAAACAAAACAAAAAAAACCCAAGTGTAAAATATAAAATCTTCATCCATATCATAAGTGCCTGTCCAAAGGATATTTATTTTCAAGAGAAAGAATTTCAGTTTTCCTATTTGAATTTTCTAATGAATCTTAATTCTTCAGTCAATGATAGAATAAATTCTTTGTGAGTTCTACAACAATAAAATATCAATAGAAACTCCCTTATCCAAACATTAAATATTTGAATGTAAAAACTTTAACACAGTTGTACAAACCAAGAGATGCAAAAGCACAATTATAAGAGGAAGTCTTGTCACAGAAAATGAAAATACGAGAAATCATGTAGAATATAAATGGGTTGGTTTTGAGGTCTTTAATAGCATTTTGCGATTCCTCATTTACAATAATTGTCTAGTACTAAATTTGTCTAGAACTTGAAAAAAGTACACCAAGAGTCTTTCCAAAAAGGTGAATTTTGATTCCTTAACAATTAATAAAAATATAATCATTTTGGAACAGCTGGGAGTTATACCATCAAAACTCAAAAATCAAGACAATAAGGGTAAAGTGACCTCACCCCCCCCCATACCATGTTTTTTAATGATTTCATATGTATTTAATCTGTTTATCTTTCAAACAATCCACAGTATTTAAAAGTGGTATCTAAAGATGGAGAAGTATTTCTGGAACTGTTGGTTCTACATCGGGAATGACGACAAAATACTTCCCCCCCTCTCTAATTTATAGGTAGAAGCACAAATGAATTCTGGGATTTCTTCCTAGCCAATAAAATAGGCCAGTTCTCGGTTTCATCTAACTTAGTCCCAGTCTGTCTTGCCTTGAAGTCAGAATGCTACATTCATTTATCACAATTCGCTCATGTTTCAACCCCCATTCTTAATTTGTGAACTTTTTGCCTTCTTACTGTTGCTTTGTCTTGCATATATTGTCTGCTTGCTCAATATTATTTTTAAACCTTTGCTTATTAGAAATTTTGTCAAATTTCTATTTGTTGGGCAGTTCTGCCATTTACATTTAATCATGGTCACTTACTCTACAGCAAGGGTCGGCAACCTATGGCCCGCGGGCCAGATCCGGCCCGCAAGCCTGATTACCAATGACTATTTTTAGACTATCTGCCAGTTATCTTTCATGAGACTTATTCTACCAAGTTGCATTGCCTACGTTTAATGTCAAATAATGGATACATATTTGTTATGACCCTTGGTTACATTAAAAGATAACAGAAGCGAAAGGAACGATAAAGTGAAAGAGGCCAGGGAGGGACTGACATGCGAGGTAGCAGAAATCTAAAGACAGTTAAACATACGCGCATTATACATACATGCCTCATGAATGTGTGGATGATACCGCATGTGTACGTACGTAAGTGTATATGTTTACAACAATTTGTACTCGTATGTATGGGTATATGTGCTTCGTTTTTGTTTGATGTGTGTGTGTGTGTGTGTGT